CTATTATATATATCCTTTGTATATTAAAGGAGAAACATTAGATACTATTTTTCATAATGTGTCACTTCCACAATTTTTCTCATCTTTCTTATTATTTATTTATTTTAAGAACAATTGATATATAACTAAACACATTTAAGATTAAAAAAAATTATTGTTCGATTTTGTTTGAAAAAATCTATTCATATTAATATATAATTCGGTTCAAAATGGAATCGGTGAATTTTTATTTGTCTCGGTTTATGCAGTTTTTCTATTTATAAATGATACATATTTCTAAACAAAATAATATTAGATTCGAATATATACAAACAAGTTTTGAATTTCTAAACAAAATAATATTAGATTTAAAAGACTAATATTTGTCCTTGTTATGTTTAGGCATGTGAAAGGTGTGGAAAAAGGAAAGGGTATGATTTTTTTCTTAACTTGTCTCGAGTTCAAAACTCCCGGTGGCTTGCCCATTGAGGCCGCATCGAGCAAATTCTTAAAGAGCGACTATTTCAAGAATCGACCAAAAAATTGGTATTACTCTTACACCAGCCCGAATGAAGTTATGTCAGGCAGTGACATCAAGCAAAATCTTTATTGCCATTTGCTATGCGGTCTTGTCCAAAGAGATGAGGTCGTGAGAATCGGTTCCACATTCGCTTCAGGTTTGGTCCGAGCAATAAAAGTTCTTGAAGATTCTTGGAAGGACTTGTGTTCGGATATCCGATCAGGTCATCTCAGCGAGTGCATCACCGATTCAGGTTGTCGAAACTCCGTGTCTATCGTCCTTGGAGGTCAGCCACGTCCCGAATTATCAGACGAGATTCAAAAGTTCTGCTGCCAAAAGTCTTGGAAAGGTATAATCACAATGCTATGGCCACAAACCAAATGCATTGAAGCTATTGTTACAGGTTCAATGGCAAAATATGTTCCTACATTGAACTATTACTGCAACGACTTGCCTCTCATTTCAACAACTTACGCGTCTTCCGAGACAATCTTCGGTGTTAATGTCAATCCTCTATGTAAACCTGAAGACGTTTCTTACACGTTCATGCCCAACTTATCTTACTTTGAGTTCATACCAATGGAGGGAGAAAATGGTGACATTGTAGACCTCACCGATGTCAAACTCGGGTGTTCTTACGAATTCTTGGTCACAAATTTATGGGGTTTGTATAGAATGAAAATCGGCGATGTTGTACAGGTAACTGGATTCCACAACAAGGCACCTCAATTTAGGTTTCTAAGAAAAGAGGGAGTGGTGTTAAACATCCATACGGACCGGACAAACGAAGAAGACTTGTATAAGGCGTTGAATCGAGCAAAGCTGGTTCTTGACGCATCAGATCTAAGGCTTATAGATTTCACATGCTATGCTGATATCTCCACTAGTCCAGGTCACTACGTGATTTATTGGGAAGTAAAAGCTAAAAACCATGACATTAAAGACCTCGAGTTTGACGAACAGACATTCTTGGAATGTTGTTTGGTAATGGAGGATTCACTTGACGATGAATACAAGGAGTGTCGGTTATACAGATCTGTCGGCCCGCTCGAGATAAGAGTAGTGAATGATGGTTCGTTTGATTCTCTAATGGACTTGTACATCTCAAAGGGTGGTGCGGTTACTCAATACAAGACTCCTACATGCATCACATCTGAAAAAGGCTTACAAGTATTGGAGAAAAATGTGGTTGCTAGATTCTCCAATACTCATTAAGTGAAAAGAAATTGTGCTTTTTGTTGTCAACAATAGTGTGTTTTTGTTCTTACTGTATCTTTTACCAATTCTACTAAAGAAGTTGATAAACTCTTCATTTCACCGAGCTATCTAAGTTTTCAATTTTAAATTTCAACAAATGTGGTTTCTTTTCCTAATAATATAATAATCTTAAATTTAAAATTTGAAAAGAAAAGGAATACAAAACTGTTTTTAAACATCCAATGAGAAAAATCTGTCGTTCGAGAAGAATGTTCATACAAATAATATAACACAAACCAAGAAGAAACCAAAACATAAAATGGCTATACACAAGAGAATTACACAACAACTTTTTTTGGGGCTAAAATGTAAAAATATATACCGAAGCAAACGGTTTGTTTTACTTTTACATCAGCTTAAGCTAAGAAGTTTCAAAAGGCCCAACAAGAGATAAAAAAAAGCCTAAGCAAAACAAGAAAAAGATGATCCAATCGACTAAACACAAATACTCATATGAGAACGAAAGGGATGGTAGGTTTTGTTAGTGTATTTCTAAGTGGTTTAAGAACATCTTAGAACATAAAGAGTACAAAGTCTAAGACAGAGTCACTAAGACAGACATAGCTAAAGCAGATGTTGGAGCAGTGTTTGATGCAGTTATTAAAAGGATTGGTTGCGGGTCTTGATGTTCATGGGATCGAAAGCCATGTGACTTGTAGAGTCATTAGGGTCTTGGAATGTTAGTATTTATATCTAGAGGCATAGACAAAAACATTGACGCGCCTAGGGTTCCATTGTGAGATGCATACATGAGTATGGCGTCGTCCCATCGTACAGATTCGTAGATCTGTGGATGGATGGTTGTCTATGAAGATTGCAGTCATTGAGAAAACAGAGATGCACCGGTATTGACAGCATGCTTGATACCTATATTCATAGGCAGTGGCGGACCCACGTAGAGAGGAGGTGTGTCAGCTAACCCACCTTAAACAAATATATAGTACAATGTTTAGCTTATGGACAAAAAATTTCAGCAGCACCAATGGTTAAAGTCTAAGCATTAACCTCCCCAATCCGAGTTCAAGTAAATCTTATGCACTTATTTTTAGTTTTAATCTTTTTTGACCTAGGTAATTTTTTTTTATCTAGGTAATTTTTTTTCCTGGGTCTGCCACTAATCATAGGTTGGTATTTCATCTAGAAAAGAGTGGTAGGCATTGTAGTGTCGGATAACCATATGCAATTATAGTTGCAATCTTGTTCTAGTGGATTATTTCTGGACGTGGTCCCGGAGAGTATGAAACGAACCCTAGTTAACAAATCTCGTATGTCGATTTACTTTATGCTCTTACATAATTGTTGCACACACAAACATAATCGATCTAGCCATGAAACCGCACTTTCAATTGGTATTAGAGCATGAGTCGATACAGAGGTGTTCTTATTTTCGGGTTTGATCCTAGATTTGGTTTTGGTGGTTGAGATTAAGAGCAAAGTATGAGATTATGGTTGAGGGCCTGTTCTTTATTGTGGTTTTTGAAAAGAAAAAAAGCATGAGGAATATGACTAGTTTGCATTTGAAGAGTTGATCGGATTTATATGGGTTTTACAGTTTTCTTTGTTTGATGGTCTATATCGAAATTGTTGGCCGTGTGTGCAATCACACGTGTGAAGCAGATAAGAGAAAGAACGATCGAGAGTCTATCTTGTTCAATCTGAAAGAGGAGAAATCAAAGACGGAAGAAACGCAGAGCATACCCGATTTTGATATATTCATATTTTACCTCATTTCAATCATATTTCATTGTGTTTTATCCCATATTTGCAAATAATTTAGGCATTTTTAGGGGCATTTGCATCTCTTTTGTGCTTTTGTAGGTTTGAAGATGGTGAATCTTGGAACGAAATGAGCTTAATTGGAAGCAAAATGAAGAGAATTCAAGAGGATATGAAGGTGGCACAAGTTGGTAAAAAAGNAGTCTAATTGATGGCCAAGAATGAAGAAGTGAGAAAATGACAGCATCCATATTGTGGCTTGATACCAAGGGTCGACCCTCGGTATNGTTGGAAGAAGGAAAATGAAGCTTTTGCAGTCAAATTGGCAGATCACATATTATGGGTATAANCCGAGGGTTGACCNTCGGTATGGGTATTCCNAAAATCAAACATTCATGACCCGACCCGGATCTAGATGGGTCGACCCGGTTCTATTTGCACATGTTATAAATATGTTTTTAGACAAAAAAAAAACCCAAAATTTGATATGCTCTTCACACCTTTTTGCTTTCAAACCATTTTATAATGATTTGTGTTTGGATCTTTTGTATTTGCTTAATCTAGTGAAGTTTTCTTAATCCTTTTCTTT